TCAGCTAGATGGCTGCTTGTTTACCTTCAAGCTTTTAAGACCCCAGACGCTATATCTTTTGATAGCCGGGCACCATCAGCTTTCTTCACCACATTAGAAAAAGAAATGATGCCTTAGATAAGTTGTGTCAGGAGATAAGGAACTGATGTTTCGCTGGGAATTATTGAAATGGTTTGTGATTTTGTTTTGTGAAGGTTTTAATTGGGTTTGTGAAAGTGCTTTTACATTTTCCTTCCTTTCCTTCCGCTTCTTTTGACTTGGTTTGCTTTGCCAAATAAAAACTGACTGCTTTTTTATTTTACAACACAGGGTTCTTGGCATCTTCTCTTAAGGTGCCATGGTCCTCTGGCTCATGTTTTCCAAATATTCCTTCAGTGAAATCTTTCTAATGGAACATCAGTCTATTGCTCCCACTATGACACAATAAAAGAGAAATGTGCTACATTTCTGATGCCAGGAAGACTCCAGAGCCCATTGTTGGTGTGAGTGTGGGACCTGACTCAGTACTGTTCTACTGGGGACCCAGTAGCTTGGAGTGCAGCAGCGATGGGTTTTGTTGAGCCATGTTGCTGTTCACTTGAGGGGTCATAGAGTCTGGCAACATAAACATATCAAGCTTACTGATATTTTCCTATATTCTGTATAATCGTCTCTAACTTGAAGTTTAAAAAATGATTTCTTCTAGAGACTCCAGGAGGCTTCTCTTAACTGCTATTTCACTAATTAATTTATTGTTCTATTTCCAGATGTCCCAAATAAACCAAAAAATGCGGCTGAAAAAATAAGTGTTGAAAAGCAAGGATGTTACCTTGAAGTCTAAGTTGAGCCTGACCCAAGCCTTGGTATTTTTATAGCCTCATATACATGTGAAAGCTAGACACTGAATTACAAGGATCTACATGTGACCTCCTCCCTGGGGGACGGACAACAGGAAAGTGGGTGAAGGGAGACATCGGACATGGCAAGATATGACAAAATAACAATTTATAAATTATCAAGGGCTCATGAGGGAGGAGGGAGCGGGGAGGGAGGGGAAAAATGAAGACCTAATGCCGGGGGCTTAAGTGGAGAGCAAATGTTTTGAGAATAATGAGGGCAATGAATGTACAAATGTGCTTTACACAACTGATGTATGTATGGATTGTGATAAGTGTTGTATGAGCCCCTAATAAAATGACTATAAAATATATGTATAATATTTCAAAAAAGCTAGACATTGAATAAGGACAACTGAAGAAAAATTGATGCATATGATTATGATATTGGCTAAGAATACTGACAGTGCGGTGGACTGCCAAAGGCACAAACCGCTCTGTCTGGGAAGAAGTACAGCCAGCATGTTCCGTAGAGAAAAGGATGGTGAACCTCATCACGAGTGCTGTGGACAGTTGTTAGGAGAGAGCAGTCCCAAAAGAAGTGTGAGGTAGCCCCAGAGGGGATTGCTCCTCTCCAGGCCCAGGGCCTGTACAGGAAGTTGGAAGCTGCTCTAGGCTAGAGGGCATGCATGGAATTCAGGTTCAGAGCCAGGAAGGGCAGTACACCTAGGTGGGAAGTACACCTGGATTGGCCCCATCTAGGCCGGGTGGGCTTAATTCAGCCAATGGGTCAACCTGTACCATCAACCACGCCTCCCAAATGGACCCCTGAAAAGCCAGAATGGACCCCTGAAAAGCCAGAAACTTTGAGACCACCATCTCTCTCCCAGCGGCTCCTACACTATTTAGCAAACCTGGGCTGCTGCTGGTTTCTCTGGCCTCAGGTTCCACCTGTGGGTGTGAAGTGCCCTGAGGGAGTCTGTGTAAAACCTGAAACTTTTCCTATCCTCTATACAACCCACTTTGATCACAACCCAGGCTTCAGCTGTGAGTTCTTTCTCCTGCTAAGCCAAGGACCAAGGTATTTCTCACCCGAGAAATCTAGCAGAAGGACGTCAAGCTTGATAAAGTAGGGGCGGCAAAAAAAGAGGAAAGCCCTCAAAGAGATGGACTGACACAGTGGCTGCAACAATTAGTTCAAACACATACCCTCGAGACAATGGCAAGTTGTCTCCTACAGATACCTGGCTTCTCCATCAAAAGGATGCTTCTCTCTTAAGAGTATAATGGAAGCCTTTGTCTACCAGTCTTAAGGGTTGATTAACACCATTGTTTACTGGCCTGCCAGACACCTCTGAAGTTTCGCTTAAAGAACTCCGGATATCTCAGATTCACACTTTGCCCCAATCTATTGTGTATGGGCCTGATGGAGGCTTGCACGTCTTAATACTGTATAAACTGTTCAATAAACTCACTCTCTCGCACTCTTATTCCAAGATCAGAGATGAGGTCCTGTAGCCCCATCTCTTCTGGCTTCTTTATTTTCCTTAATTACACATGCCGTGACTGTGGGGCTGGATCCCACAGTACATAGGTTCGTTATGAGTCAGAACCAACTTGATCACATCTTACCACAAGAAGAAGCAAGGAAGAAATCTTGACTGTCTCTCCATAATTGTGTGGAGCTTAGGAAAGTCACTGAATGAATGTCAGCCTTAGTTTCCCCATCTGTAAAATGCAGATATTGTGGTATGTTGCCAGGTGCTGTTGAGACGGTTCTAACTGAAGGCTACCCCGCATACGAAGATGCAGTACTGCCCAGTCCTGTGCCCATCTTGCAGTCGTTTCTGATGTTTGAGCCCACTGTTACAGTCATTATCAATCTATCTCATTGAGAGTTTTCCAAAAAGAAAACAAGGTTACTGCCGTGAGTTCACTCCAACTCATGAGACACTTTAGGGAAGAAAAAACACGTGTAGCTGCCCACTAGGGTGTCCAAGGCTGTGATCTTTCTGGAACTGACTGCCTCAGCTCCCTCCCACAAAGCATCCGTTTGGGTGTTGCTGATTGCTTTAACCACTGGGCCCAGAGGACTCCTCTAAATTAGGGATCAAGCCAAAAAAACAAACTCACTGCCATGGAGCCAATTCTGACTCCCAGCGACCCTGCAGGGAAGGGTAAGACTATGTGAATTTCCAAGACTGGAACTCTTTACAGGAGCAGAAAACCTCCTCTTTCTTCCGTGGAGCCACTAGTGGTTTCAAACCACTGACCTCTCCTTAGCAGCCCACTATGACAGCAGGGCTAGCACTGGTTCTGTGTTGGGCGGCTAACCGTAAGGTCAGCAGTTCAATCTCCCAGCCTCTCCTGAGGAGAAAGATGAGGCTGTCTGCTCCTGTGGCCTGACAGCCTCAGAAACCCCGGGGAGCCGTTCGGTCCTTCAGACGTTCAGTGTGCGTCCCATTCTTCTTGATGGCTTGGGACTGGTAAAGTAGTCGATATTCCAATGCTGACGTTGTCAGGTGCCAACGTGGAGTTGGTTCCGACTCATAGGGACCTTATGTACAACAGAGAGGAGCCCTGGTGGCCCAGTGGTTACATGCGTTCGAAAACACCAGCCGGCTCCTTGGGAGAGAGGCGAGGCTGAGTGAAGAGCTACAGTCTCAGAAATCCATAGGGGCAGTTCTGCCCTGTCCTACAGGGTCGCTATGAATCGGCATCGACTGGGTGGCAGCGAGTTTGCTTTTTTGGTTTTGGTCCAACAAAACGAAACACTGCCCAGTCTTGTGCCGCCCTGGTTGTTCTTAAATTTGAGCTCGTTGATGCAGCCGCTGTGTCAACCCATTTTGTCGAAGGTCTGATTCTTGTCAGATTTGCAAATGTGGTTTTTCATAATTGTTAGAAGCACAAAGAAGCGATGGCAGCATAAGCAGCGTGGTTACCCAGGGGACGCCTACAACTAGTTGGGCTAGAAGGTGCCCTAACTCCACCACCTCACGTGGTACTCCCGAAACATCGCGGCCACAATTATATCAGACCAAAGCCACGCCCACTTCGTCACAGGAACGAGATTGGATCTTGGGATGCCAATCATTCAGGCTCAGGCCCCGCCCTCCAGCGTGCGCCCTCTCGCTAACAGCGTGCGCACGGGGGCGCGCACGGTGACGCGTCCCAGCTGGGGGGCCGGGCGGCTTTGCGGCTCCCGGAAGGAGCGGCGGCGGTAGGAAGCGGGGTCGGTGTGGCGGCTGGCGCTTCGCCGCGGTAGCCGAAATGTTCCCATCTCGTGGTCCATGGAGCCCTGGCCGCCATGTCCGCTGCAACCGAATAGGTGAGGCCAGCCCCCTCCACGCGGGCGAAGGGAGGGCAGGATGCCTTGGCGGCCAGCCCTCGTGGGGGCAGTTGGAGCTGGGGGATTCCGCTGGGCCACCGGTGAGCGGGCCGCGGGACGAATCCCTCTACCCGGGACCCTTCCTCCCCGCGCTGCCGGCGGCCGGGCCCCGCGTCACTGCGTCTGCAGCCGCCAGCCCAGCTCTGCAGAGCATCCCCCGGCCGCGCCCGGCCGCCCCCGGCACCCCTGCTGCCCGCGACAGTGACCCTGCGTGGCAGGTGCGCCTCTCCCCTCCCCTCCCCGCCCCGGCGGGAGAGACGTCGGCAGCAGTCCGGCTGTCGCACCTCCTCTGTGACCACGTTGCACTATCCCTCACCCACAGGCTGGCACGTCCGGCACCCTCTAGGGAGGGACCTGCCTGGGAGAAGGGCTGTGTCGCCGAGGAACCGATTGGTTTGATCCTAACATGTACACGTTCAGCGTCATTTTTGCTTGTTCTGCGTCTGCCAAGTTTCATGCCTTAGATGTTCATTTGGAGAAATGAACCAATTGCATGAAAAAGTAATGATTCAGAGCAGAGTACTTCAAACTTGAGCAATGTGGGGACTCCTTTTTAGAAGGGCCTCAAGGCCATGTTTGAGAAGCTGCTGGGAGAGCCAGTTAGCTGAGCCCTGGTGCGGAACATGTACATTTTTCTCCTTGGGTTCCAATCAGTGACCGTTTAGCTATCAGCCGAGCGCTTGCACCACTGCACCACCAGGACTTGCTTCACCTTGCCTTGTTGTTAGGTGCTATCAAATTGGTTCCAACGCAGTGACTGCGTTCTGCCATCCTCACAGCTTTGCTGCGTTTGAGCCTGTTGTTGCAACCACTCTGCCCCTCCATCCTCCTGTTGGTCGTCTTCCTCCTACACAGACCCTGCCGCTGTGTATTGATAACATGTCTAAAGTACGAGAAAGTCTCAGCTTCCTCATTTCTAAGAAGAATTGTAGTTGTGCTTCTTCCAGATTCCTTCATTCTTTTGACAGCCCGTGATATATTCAATCTTTTTCGCCAGTATTATCATTCAGGTGCATCCATTTCTTCTTTGATTTCCTTTACTCACTGCCCAGCGATGGAAAATGCCGTGGCGTGGGTCAGGCACACTTTAGTCCTCAAAGGGACATCTTTGCGTTTTAACAGTGTAAAGAAGTCTTTTGCAGCAAATTTGCCCAATGCGATACACCAGTATATCATTTGATTGGTTTTTGTTTTTTTCTCCCCCTCTCTAGTTTGTACATGCACAACACATGATTAAAGACGTGTCTACTATCAGTGGATGGCTGCAGACAAATTCTCTCAGTAATGTACTTAAATCATTGGCTTTCTTGACTGCTGCATACAGGGACATCCATTCATTCATTTATTCTGGTTACTAGTTAAAAGAAATCTTTTGACAACTTCAGCTCTTTTCTGTTTATCTCGATGTTGCTGATGGGTTAGGTTCTGAGGGTTTTTGTTTTATATGCATTGAGGTGTAATCTATACTGGAGGCTGGGTCTTTGATTTTCATCAGTAAGGATGTTAAGTGCGCTTCGCTCTCTGCAAGCAAGGTGTGGCATTGCATACTGCAGGTTATGCAGGTCTCCCTCTGGTCCTGTTTTTCTTCATTTAGTCTAGCTGCTTGGATTATTGGATCGGCATACTATAAATTGAATACAGATGCTGAAACGATATAGCCCTGACACTTACTTTTCATGAGTTTAATCCATGTAATGTACCTTGTTCTGTTCGAATGTCTACCACCTGGTCTATGTACAGGTTCTTCATGAGCACAATGAAAAACAACAACACAGAAACAAAAGCAAACTCACTGCCATCAAGTCAATGCTGATTCATAGCGACCCCCTGTGGGTTTCTGAGACTGTTTAGGAGAATAGAAAGCCCAGTCTAACTCTCTCGGAGCTGCTGGTGGTTTCGAAATGCCCACCGTTCGGATCACAGCCCACCACCTAACCACTACACCACCAGAGTTCTGGAGTTTCCATTCTTCACAGTGTTCTCATACCCACACAGTCGAGTGCATTTGCATAGTCAATAAAACACAAGTAAATGCCGTTCTGGTTTTCTCTGCTTTCAGTCTTGTCCTCCTGTGATCTAGCTTAAACTTCAATATTTGACTGCAATCACTTTTTAATGATCTTCAGCACAATTTTATGATGATGATATTAATGGTAATGTTCTATAATTTGCCTACACTTGTTAGGTGGCAGTGCATTGGGTCTGACTCACAGTGACCCTGTGCACGCAGAAAGAAGCACTGCGTGCTCCGGCACCATCCTCACTACCGTTACATTCGAGCCCATTCTTGCAGCCGGTGTGTCAGTTGTCTCATTGAGGGGCTTCTTTGTGGCTGACCTTCCACTTTACCAAGCATGATAGCCTTCTCAAGAACTGGTTATTCCTGATAACATGTCCAAAGTGTATGAGACTGAGTCCTGCCATCCTCACTACTAAAGAACATTCTGGCTGTACTTCTTGCAAGATAGATTTGTTTGTTCTGACAGTCCAATCCGTGGCACATTTTTTTAAATTGTGAATTAGGTGGGGGTTTACATTTCAGATAATCAGTTTTGCATTCACCATTTTACACTACCCCTCCTCCTCTGAGTTCTCGTCTCCCTCTCGGGGGTTGCTATCTTCTCCTTCACCTAGGTTGACGCTGTTAGCGCTCCAGCCTACTGCTGCAACCCCTCTGCCCCCCTCGCCCTCCTGCTGCCCATAGGACTTACTTAGTCTCCACCAGCGCGCCATAATTCTAATGCATCAATTCTTCTTCGGTCTTCCGTGTTCACTATACAGCTGACACATGAATATGAGGCAGTTGGTAAAAGCGTGGCCTGAGTCACATGCACCTGTGCCCTCAAAGTGACATCTTTAACACGTGCAGCAGGTTTGCCCATTGCAAATGTATGACATTGTTGGTTTCTTGACTGCTGCTTCCACGGGTGTCGACTGTGGATTCAAGTAAGATGGAATCCTTGACAGCGTAATCTTTTCAGCATTTATCATGATGTTTCCTGGTCCAGTTGTGAGGATTGCTGTTGCACTGAGTTGCAACTTAGAATGAAGGCTGCTTCGCTGTTCATCAGTAAGCGCTTCAAGTCCTCCTTTTCAGCAAGTGCGTTTGTACCACCTCCTTTTGTGGGTTCTTATAAGCCTTCCTCCAATCCTGCTGCTGTGTTCTTCATCTAGTCCCGTTTCTCAGATTATTTGCTCAGGATGCAGATTGAATAATTACGGTGAGAGAACACAACCCTGGCTAGCCTTAGCGAGGCTTAGACGAATGCTATACTGTGTGGGTTAACTATACTTGATAATGTGTCTTTATATCAGCCTTGCCAATTCTGTTTGACACATAAATAGAGCCATAAACGGGATACCAGTTTTTCAAAAAATTATTTTATTGGGGATACCAGTTTTTATAAAATACTTGTTTACTTCTGTATTTATCTAGACATTGATTTACCACTGCTTTTGCTGCATGTGGGATGTATGGTTTGCATTCTTCTAGTTCATAGGTTCCCAAACTTACTTGGCCTACCTCTCTCTTTTCCGAAGAAAAATGAATCAGTACCCTCTGGCAGTTAAGATTTGTTGTACTATATATAGCCCATAGTCCATGGTAAAGTATAGGTATCTGCTTTTGTCCCTCCCCCACCCCCCACCATGGTCCCAGCACCTCTTAAGGGGCAGTACAGCCCACTTTGAGAAGTACTGTTCTAGCTCCAAACAGGGAACAGTCTGCCCTGGTATATCAGCAGAACAAAGAAACAAAAATCAGTGTTGATCGGGGATTTGTAAATCTTTACATGTTATGTTAACTTGGACTAGACCACACCCAGTACAGAAGTGTGTACAGAGTGTGACAAAGACCTGGTTCTCGGAAGAAGTGTGCGATTGAGACCAGGACATCCCAGTTGGGTGGAGTGGGCCTTAGGAAAAGCTGGAGGCAAGAATGGGAACAGTTGTGTTACGGGGAGAGAAGAAAGACTGGAGATGCGCTCGCTAGAGCAGAGGGCTGTTTCCCAGCAGGGGAACAGGCGGTGAGAGAAAGCAGGTGCCACTGTTGGCTATGGGTGCCGTGCTATGGCTATGGTTTTGGTCCATAGGCCTCTGGAAGATTCTTGAACTGGTTATCTTTTAAAAGGAGTGTTTTACAAAGAAGTGTCAGTAGTGTTCCTGGGGAAGGCAGAAGGTAGATCATCTGCCAAGAGGTCTGTCTGAGATAGGATGTGTGCTGTGGTCGTTTTAGATGTACAGAATCCAGGTATTGAGGCAGCATTAACAAGACTTGGGAAAACGGAAAGCCACAGTTGAGAATCAGATGAATCTAGTCCATGCAGAACACCCTTATGGACCTGGACATTTTGGAAAGCAGGAGTTTGTGACAAAAGATTGTAACTCCATCCTAGAGAAATGACTAACCCAAATGTGCTAAGTGCATGCAACAACACGGGTGAACCTCGACAACCTTGTGCTGATTCAGACAGAGGGAGAAGGAGTGTAAGAGACCACGTGATCCAGAGGAGGCAAACGTGGAGACCAAAGTTTAGCAGTCCTTACAGAGACAGGTAGGAGGAGGAACGGGCAAGTATTGCTTAAGACCGCGGTTCTTAACAAGTGGGTCGGTCGCCTGATTCATAACAGTAGCAAAATGACAGTGATGAAGTAGCTACGAAAATAATTTTATGAAAGGGTCACGGCATTAGGAAGGTTGAGAACCACAGGCTTAAGAGATACTGCGTTTCTCCTAGGAGTGGTGGAAGAAAATTGGAAGCATGATTGGTGGATGTAATTCATGTTAGTGAACTGTACATGTTGAGCTGGCAACAGTTTGTTACATATTTCACACACAGATTAAAAAAAAAAAAAGATTGTGACTGCATACTTCAGTGGTTCTGAACCTTCCTAATGCCAAGACCCTTTAATACAGTTCCTCCTGTTGTGGTGACCCCTTATGTGGCCGTATCTGCATGTGGGCGGACCTACCCTGAGACGGATAGAGGAGTGGTGTCTCGGTTCCTAAGACCATCGGAAATATGTGGGTCTGGACCCACAGGTTGAGAACCCTGGCATCCTTAATTGGGTTTGCAGTGTCAGGACTCCCGGAGGCTCAGGGCGTGGGGATGGGCTTTGAGGGGCATTGCAGCTGTGATGTAGGACAAATGTGATGAGAAAAAGACCACTTAAAAACGAGGACTGGAATATTGAATGAGCGGTGAGAGGAAGAAAGGTTTGATGAGGACTTGATCTTAACAAATGAAAATGTTTAAAGCTTAAATAAGGGAAACATATAGATCTTAGATGCAATCACATGCATGTGTCTTAAGACAATGACTTAAATCCCCTTACAACTGCAGTACTTTCGCCGCTTCTCCTACAGAGATACACTGTTTCTTGCTCAGAAGTCTAGCTTATGTGTCTGCAACGTGGTTTGAGGGGACTGGGGAGTTGGCTCATGTCGGTTTTCCTGCACCCTGTGTTTTCACCCAGGAGCCATTTCTCTGCCGTGCAGAGCAGGTGGCCTGACTGGTGTTTGAAGGCATGGAAGAGCCAACAGATGGGCCCAAGGGTGTCCTAGAGCTGCGGAGCAGGAAGAGTGGGGGCCTGGCCTTGCTGCGTGGCTTCTAGCATGGCTAGAACCCAGCGGAGGAGAGGAGAAAGATGGGTTGGAGGATAAGGGAAGCAAACTAAGATGAAATCAGAGTGGGTCACAGTGGCCAAATCCTGAAGGACTTTGTGGGTCACACGAAAGAGGTTGGCTTTTACTTTAAGTGAGACAGGAGCCATTCATTGGAGTGTTGTTGGTTCAAGGGTGACGTCATCATGTTATCATGGACATGGGGTGGAGGCTGTTGGTACTGATGCCTGCGCTGCAGATGAGGAATCTGCTGGCTCACTGTGTTGAGCAACAGGTAGGAGAGCAGTTAGGCTGTTGTTCCAATAAACTAGGTAAGAGATCATTTTCTCTCCTTGCCCATTCATAGTGACCCTACAGGACAGCCTAGAACGCCTCCTCGGAGTCCAAGGCTGTGGCTGCTTGCTGGAGTAGAATGCCGCGCTTGCTCCCATGCAGGAGACAGGAGATAAGAACCTGGCCCCCAGCAGAGGCCATAAAGAAGTGAGCGCGGCGGTTAGAGTGATGGAGGTCGAAGAGAGGAGCTCCGGTGGCACCATGGATTAGGCATTGGGCTGCTAACTGCAAGGGTGGAGGGTTACGGGAGAAAGACGAAGCTCCGTAGAGATTCACAATCTCCGAAACCCCAGGAGTCAGAATTGATTTGGTGGCAGTTGGTTTTGGGGGCAGAATTGGATCTGAAAGGTAGAAACAGAGGCAGGACGCAGCGAGCTTCTGTGGTTTCTGGACTGAGCAGATTATTTTTTTCATGGTCCTGTGTGACATTCAGATAAGGCGATCTAGTGAGCAGGGGAGGGTCATATAGCTGGAGCTCAGCAGAGAGGCTGGGGAGGTGGGGTGGGGGGCAGAATGAGTGATCTGGTTATTGAAGCAATAGACTGTGACTGACCAGGAAGAGAGAAAGGTTGAGGAACAGCTGCGTAGCTGGGATTGGCAGAGAAGGAAGACTGTGAAGGCATGGGCTATGGACGAAGAAGCAGCATAGATAAGTCTTGAGAGCAAAAGTAGGACCAAGAGGTCAAGAACGATAAAGACTGAAAAAAGCCCTCCAGGCCGGCAGGTCATCTGGAGGAGAGGTGACAATGGCTTAAGCAAGAGACCTAACCGGGAATATAATGTCCTGCATGGTTCCTTGTCCATAAAAGGGAAGCCATATTCTTTCTCAAATAAATGGATATTTCAAATTATCTTTTAGGTAACGGTTAGTCTGTGTGTGTCTCCTGGCCCCACACAGATGGTCCCTAGCCTTCATCGCCACGAGGTCCATAAGACCCCTGAGGTGCGATGACCTTCCAGGTGGAGAGCCCGTCTGGTACCAGAGGGTCCTCATCCATTATTTTAGGCCTCATCTCCAGCAGCAACAGGGCAGTGCTAGGATCATGCACCACGTTATGCCGCCTGGAACTCAGACCGAGGCTTTGTGAACAGACGTGTTGCCTGCCCTGTGTCATCTCTGGTTTTCTCACTTCCTGGAACAGGATGGCTCTGTGTGAGGCCCCGCTGTCTCTGTACCTGTGTGTGAGAAGGGGGGACAACTCCCAGCACTCTGCCGGATCCTGAGCCGCCAGAATGGGGAGGTGAGTGATGGGGCCGCAGGCCTTGAGAGGGAGCGGCAAACACATCTACCTCTGTCAGGAACTGTCACGAAACTAGATCCGGGAGGAAAAACTATCTGAGCCTCAAGGGAGCGGTGTTAGAAGCTGTGCTGTATTTCTGTTTCACATCTGTCTTCTCCCCAGGCATAGAGGGGTGCCTACCACAAAAAGAACGTGCTTGTGCGAGGCAGGCGGAGCGTACTGGGGTTGACAGTGTTTCCATTAACAAGGCATCGGACTGGAATCTCAGCAGGGAGTAGATTAAGCATGCAATAACTGCCTCTGAGCTTCAGCAGAAGGATTGTATATTGCATTCTGTACCATTGGCTTTATACAAACACTTGATAAAGAATGTGGGTGGGGAGGGGCTGATGGATTCCCTGGAGGGACCCAAGAACCCAAAAGGGGAGTGGGGATTACTCTTGTTGGACAGGTTCGTTGCATTACAAGGATACCTTCCCCTTCCGTGAACTCTTTAAAGCAAAGACTGTAGAAATGAACTAGAACATAATAGAATGCACCCTTAAGGCAGTTTGTTTTTTTTCATACCTATCCAGAAGGAGCATCTCATTCCTTCTATAAACTAAGAAGAAACGTTCCATTTATTTGCCACAAAAACAAAACCCCCAAAACATCAGGACTAGCCCTAAAAACACTGGGCATACAAAACTTACTGGCTGCTTCCTTGTAAGGATATTGTTATGTGTAATATTTTCTCCCATCACTCAGCCATCTCTCTGGGAGAATGTACTTTGGAGTTCAGTGTTCAGAAAATCTTGTTCTTCCTGAGCCGTTGATATATTTCTAATCTGATGAACAATGCTTTAGGCACTAGGATGCCCAGCCAAGTAGAAATTTGCATCTCTTGAATCAATTTCCTTTTGGCTTTATCATCCTTAAACCTGCTTTCATTATTATCTTATTGAACTTGTTTTCTGCAATCCTTGTAATCCTTAAAAAAAAAAAAATTTTTGGTAACTTGTTATTGTTACTCCAGTGAAGGTTTCCAGAGAACAATGATTTTCTGTTGAACAATTCATACACATTTTGTTTCCTGACATTGACTGCAATCCCACGAAGCAACGGCACGCTTTTCACTTCCTCCTCGTGTCTGCTGCTTCCATTACCAAAGCCTTTTCCAAACCCAAACCAGACCAAACTCACTGCCGTCAAGTCAGTCCGACTCGCAGAGACGCAGTGTAAGGTTTTTGAGGCTCTACATCTTGACAGGGGCAGACAGCCTCATTTTTCTTCCTAGGAGCAGCTGGTAAGTTGGACTCGCTGACCTTGTTAGTCGCTCCACTTTAAATAAAAGGAAAACATTTAAGTGTCTTGAGCCATCGGGTTAATTCGCATTCATAGAGTTTGTTCTGCAGCAAAATAGCAGAATGGACTGAGTTCTTTGGCAAAGTGGAGGCGAGCTTCTGGTGTACTGATGCCTGCAGACATGGGATAGAGGGGTGCAATCTGAGTACTTTACAATAAGGTCCTTTTGGTAAGGGAGCCTCTTGCTTTCAATCTGTATTTGTTTTTAATTTCAGGATCGGCATCTCCTGCCTAGTCCCTGCTTCCTGGCATTTTAGCATCTCTCCAGTGGGGTGCCTTCGAATCCTAAATACCAACTTACGACAAATTATTGTCATCAGTGTCCTGGCCATTACGGTTTCACTTTTATACTTTTCTGTTGTCATAATTCGCAATAAGTATGGGAGGCTGTCCAGAGACAAGAAGTTTCAAAGGTAAGAGGTCTTCTCCATCCCTAATTTCATGACTTCAACAAGACTCTCAGGGTCCGATTAGAGTTTGAGGAGCAAGCGACTGTAGGAACTAGATTCGGTCCAGAGTCCACCATGGCGTGAACATAAGCTGCCTGCAGCTGGTTAGCTGCTGCGACTGTCACACCGTGGCCCTGCGACATTGACTTACACATAAACTTGTGACAGCTCATAAGCCAATTTTTTAGCTGCAATTAATGGCTTGGAAGTCCGTAGTTTTACTTCAGAACTTGTCCTAATGTCTTTAAAGAATATGGAGTGTATATCTAATTTAAATGATCCTTATTACTATCACTTTCTTTCTCTTTTGGTTTTTCCATCAGTTGGCAGTTGTAAAATATGATACAGTGTAGGAATCCGTACGTGGCATTTGCTGATCGCATCTACGGTAGGAGTCCAGTGCAGGATGGTATTCTCAGTCTGAATAAGTGTGTTTCTTTTTCTAAACAAGGTACTTGGCAAGAGTTACTGACGTTGAAGCGACAGACACCAATAACCCGAATGTAAACTATGGTATTGTGGTGGACTGTGGTAGCAGTGGGTCTCGAATATTCGTCTATTGTTGGCCAAGACATAATGGCAATCCTCATGACCTGCTGGATATTAGACAAATGAGGGATAAAAACAGAAAACCGGTGGTGATGAAAATAAAACCTGGTAAGTGAATGATAAACATCGGATTGGCTAGCAGGTTCTGCCCTTTAAGTCTCTGTGAGAGATGTGTGTGTGTGTTTGTGTATGCACGCACACACGCATATGCACTAAGGAACCTTATACTGATAAATGATGACTACAGCTTATTATTTTCCATTTCCAAAATTATATCCCATTTTAACGTGTTAAAGTATCTGTGTTCATGAAAGGATTTCTATCAAGTCCACCACTTGAGTTGTGTTTGTTTTCATGGATGATTTGAAGCCCCACTTCCTTCTTCAGGCAGCTCTCAGTGCAGTGATTGGTGCAGCTGTGGCATCGGCGCACTGCTTGGGAAACTGAAAATCTCTCGCTGAGCAAAAAGTCAGCAGTTTGAGCCCACCAGCTGCACCATGAGAGCAAGATGTGGCAGTATGCTCCCATCAGGGTTGCAGCCCTGGAAGCCCCGTGGGCCAGTGCTGCGCAGACAGTCGCTGCAAATCGAAATGACCCGCCAGCACTGACTTTGCTTAGGAGAGAGAGAGAGACCTTATGCAAACATTATTTGTACATCAGAATACATATCTATGAATTATGGTCAGCTCTCTATAATCTTAATAACTTTTTAATTCTTATGAGCATTAATTAGAAGACTCGTTTTCTGTTGCCCTGCTCCTTATGGTCTTATGTATTTCTAATTGGAAAACATTATAAAGATTAAAGTAGTATTGATCAGGTTTTTTAAAAGCACCCCCAAAACTTGAAAATGAAACTATAGAACACTGTAAAGCAGGGAGGGGGGTAGGGTAGGAGGGGAAAAAAATGAAGAGCTGATACCAAGGGCTCAAGTAGAAAGCAAATGTTTTGAGAATGATGATGGCAACAAATGTACAAATGTGCTTGACACGCAATAGATGTATGTATGAATTGTGATAAGAGTTGTATGAGCCCCCCACCCCCACCCAAATGATTTAAAAAAAAACAAAAAACACTGTAAAGCAGTCAGGAAGAGTTGAACCCTTGCAGTCCATCTAGCGGCTTCACCTGGGGTTAAACTGCCCTCATGGAATAAGGTGAACGTTGAAATCGCCCTTTTGGAACAGAAGGAGAATTCTAACACCGTCCCAGGCTGGATACCAGAACCTCATTAAAATCTGTCTGGACGTTGTAAAGCACCTGGGAGTGTTTGAAATAAGTATCTTTTATACCCCTTCTTTGTCCGGAAGTGTGAACCCCTATTCAAGATTCCAGTAATTTCCTTACTGAATATGCCCAGTCACTAGTGTTGGGCCTGCGGGTCGTTGAAATAATGTTTCATGTGTCCCTTCTCTTCTGATGCAAATACTTGACCCTTTCTCAGTTACAATTTAAAGGAGCCCCGTGTAAAGCACTTGACCGCTATTAGAAAGGCTGACTGTTGGAGCCTGCCAGCCACTCGGTGGGAGAAAGAGGTGGCTCTGCTTCCATCAAGATTTACAGCCTTGGAAACCCAGTAGGGCGGTCTTCTTATCTGTCCTCCTAAAAAGATTTCTGACTATGAGTCAGAATTAACTCTGGCAGTAGGTTGTTTTTGGCTTGGGGGGGTCACAATGTATTATCTATGAATGAAGAAAAGTTTTAACTTCTGGAAATACTCATTTGCTTTTGCACTCATTTAGCAAATATGTATTGAGCCTTTGTTATTTGCCTAACACTATGTGGAGAATGCATGCTTTAACAAGCACAGGTTGTGTTCTCAAAACTTGCATTTGTACTGAGACAGACAATAGGACATTTCGACGAGGTGCAGTGACGTGCTGCACGTAGAATTAGAGGGGAAGGAGAGCCTATAATGAGAGCGCTCAGGAGAGACCCTTAGCTGAATCTGGCCGCAAGGGCTAGCCAGGTGAGAAGATGGGGAGTAGGGAGGCGATTCTTGGAGGCGGTGCACAGCCCCTAAGGCCAGACAGAGTGTGCTGCCTTAGAGGAAGGTGGTTCAGTAGAGCTGAAGGCTGGATGGAAGAAACAGAGAGAGATAAAGGAGGCGGGTATGCTCTCCTGAAGAATTTAGCTTTATGGTGGGCATTTGTAGAGGTACCGCAAAAGTGTTTTAAACCAGGAAAAGATACGGTTTAAGAAGTATGAGGAGTGCTGTCGAGATCCCTGGGTAAAGCCCAGGCTCTGGAACCGCACCCCGATGAGTCTCTAAAGCAGCAGTTCTCAACCTGTGGGTCTGGACTCCTTTGGGGGTCGAACGACCCTTTCACAGGGGTTGCCTGATTCATAACAGTAGCAAAATTACAGTTATGCAGTAGCAATGAAAATAATTTTATGGTTGGGTCACCACAACATGAGGAACTGTATTCAAGGGTCACGGCATTAGAAAGGTTGAGGACCACTGCTCTAGAAAGAAACTGGGGCACACTGCCTATGCCATGTGAGGGTACCAATGGGCTATCATGGAGCCTAACCAATGAACGCTCGAGAAATCCAACCTGTACTCACTTTAGCTACTGTGAGGCCTTTATTGGTCAATTCTGCAAATTGGGCTGAGGGGGAGTGCCTCACAGCCTTTCATCCCCTAATTCACAAGCCCCTTTCTCTGGTCCCTCATTGGTTGAGACGGTGGGGTGAATAATCTTCCTTGAATGTCTCCTACTGTAAAGTTTCCCCCTCTGAAGTGGATCCTTCCTCTCTGTTCCCCTTTCTTAATTCTTCATGGGTTCCCACATTCCATACCCCAGGTGCCTGGGCCCTGGTGATTGTTCCATCAGCTATCAGCCAGTGCCCTAGCTACATGGTAACTCCTTGACCCTTTGTTTCCTGACTGCTGAAGATGCACCCGCCTGGTGACTTATATCTCACCGGAAGGAAATGGTGGGGGCATTTCCAAGGCTGGAGGGGGACAGGTTGGCCGAGAGTGGTGGCATCTGCAAGAAATGAGGAAAAGTAAAACATTGAGAAAGGAACCCAGGAGAGGCGATCTGTGGTGCTCCAAATGTTTGGTTGAGCATGGGGGCGGGACTTCATGCAGGACGCTGGCTGGCAGCATTGGGCGGCCAGTGATGGGGGCTCCTGAGGCAGGCAGCAACTGCCAAGGCAAGAACAAGTTGATGTTGAATTTGGGGTGCCTGTGAGATGTCCGCATGGTGATGCCGGTGGACAGTTCCTACTTCCTGATCCAGATTGCTGCCGACTAGGGGCTCAGCTGCCCCGTGGTGCTGGCTGCCATCGGAGTGAATGAGCTGCCCGGGGGACTTAGGAGCGTGCTTCCTCGGGGCCAGGGTGAAGAGCCACGTGGCTGACACATGTTAGATGCTACATTCAGGCCGGCACGAGGGAGCATAGTTTATATTTCTCTCAAATGACCCATACTGAAGAAATGTAACTTGTCTACTTGTCTGCAATGTCTACTTGTTAACCAAAGTCCCCTGTTTCTCCAGGCATTTCAGAATTTGCTACTTTCCCAGAGAAAGTCAGCGATTACATTTCTCCACTCTTGAACTTTGCTGCCAAGCATGTGCCACGGACAAAACACAAAGAGACGCCTCTCTACATTCTCTGCACAGCAGGGATGAGGATCCTTCCCGAAAGGTGATCCCCACACTCGGGCCAGCCAGCGAGGCTGTTCAGCTTGTGTGTGAAAAACGAAACCATCCCTGACTCTTCCTTCAAGCCTGGATTGGTGCCAGAGCTGTTGCTTTGGTCAGAAACCACCTCTCTCAGTGTATTTGTTTATGACTACAAACTGGGAAGTTTTCATGAAAAACTGTCTGTTTTATGAATTAACAGACTGCTTGTAGCTTCACATCCCAACCAGCCGCTTCTCAGTTCAGTTCTGGCTCAAGGCGCCCCCGTGTGTGCGGAGTAGGAATGCTCCGCGGGGTTTCAAGGCCAGGACTTCTGGCAGCGGGTCACCATGCCTGTCTGCCGAGGTGCTCCTGGGTGGGTTCCAGCTGCCGGCCTTCAGCCTTAACCATCAGTGCCACCCGAGGACTCCATCCTTGGAATCTTATAATTCTTATAATGGGGCTCAGTTTGAAAATTATTTTCTCAAATGCAGTCTCTTCAATGAATTGCTTTGGTTCCCAAATTAATTATTTCAAATACAATATACCAGCGTTATAGTCATCAGGGGAGATAACCTTTTTCCTTTCCAAGACAGAGAAATTCGGGATGTAATGTTTTGAAATGTATGTTTTTTTATTGTCTTGTAGTCAACAGAAAGCCATCCTGGAAGACCTCCTGACCGATATCCCTGTGCACTTTGACTTTCTGTTTTCCGACTCTCATGCAGAAGTCATTTCAGGGAAGCAAGAAGGTTAGTACATTGGTATGAAACTTCAGTATCAACTTCAACTTTATGTTGCGGATCTAGGCTTTCCCAGTTTCCCCAAAATCTGACCATTAAATTACTCTGAACACCTTGAAATTGAGATAGTATAGTTTTTAAATGGCTAAATTTGTTATTTGTATGGATAGTCTGTTACCCACACATCGAGCCACTTAAAAAAGTATGTGGGGGGTGGGTGGGTATAAAGAACATTTTCCTGAGGGGGCGTTGAGAAGAGTAGACTGGCAGACCAACATGGAAAAAAGATGACAAAAATGTTGCACAACATGAAGGATGTAATCAGAGGCACAGGATTCTACGGGTAGCAATGGTTGACTTGGTCTGTGTTCTGTTGTATTTATTTCCATCAGAATCCACCCCCCAAATTGTCTTTGTCATAGTTAGGGTTCTTATTTTTGACTCATTTTGATAGAAAAGATTTGTGTTTATGTTCCTTATGATGATGAAGATAATTACTGATTTATTGGACCCTTCTACTGATTTACTGCGGATTTGAAAAGGAGTAATTCTTTTTTACTTTGACACACTAAGAAAATATTAATTCTATTTTTAAAGAGTTCGTCTTAAAAAATAACTGACAAATCAATATGATTTGCAGACATAAATTGCTAGAAATAAATCCCAAGAAGCACTTATTTCTGAATCTTTAATCATCTTAGTAATTGCCCCTTATGTGAAAGGCATGTAAAGAAGGCCGATTAGGGTAAACTAATGGTACCATTGAATTGTTCACAGAAGACTAAGGGGCACAGTAGCTCTTACACAAGGTAGAGTTTTAGGTGCCATAAGGAAGATAAGGAGAAAGTTGAGTGGAAATTCAAAAGAAGGAAAAGTTTGGTGTGTTTTTTTTCCTCCCACCTAGGGGCATCATGGAGAAAGTGATACTTGAACTGGATCTGAGGAGATATCTTATAAAGAGAGCATGCAGAACATGGTGAAGGTGGGGCTCAGAGGGAGGAATAGGAGGCAAACTCTAGGCAGAAGAAATATATGTGAGTCAAAAACACTGGTAAGAAGGAGTCCCTGTGGACAGGGGAACAGAAAGGTTGGTTTGACTAGGTGCAGCCCTTTTGCAAGGTGGTTGTAATGTTGAGAAATTGGACGAGTAGGTTAGACTCAGATCCTAAAGAAGACATCAGTAGCAAAGAGTGGGCTGGAGTGAAGAGTCTGGGGAGCTTGACAGATGGCCCGTCACCGCCCCTCGCAGTGGAAATGGGTCGAGGTTGCGTGGAGGAGATGTCGTAGAAGTCGGATCACTGAGACTTGACAGCCAAATGAATGTAGGCTGAACGGAGAAAGTACAAGATGACTTGAGAGTGTGAAACCATGGAGTCTGGAAAACTAACTCCCAGGGAATTGTATTTTTAACAACTACATATAAAACTATAAAGATTAATATTAAACGTTCTTGGGAGACCACTAGGCAAAAAATACACCTGTAGTGCACTCAAACCTGTTGCTGTCAAGGTGATTCTGACTGACAGTCCATAGGACTCCCAGGCTGTACTGTCGACAGAAGCCGATTGCAGTGCCTTTCTCCCACAGAGGGTTCGAACTGCCAGCCTTTCGGTTAGCAGCCAAGTGCTTAACTAGTGTGCCTCTAGCTATGCTAAAACCAAACCCACTGCTCTCTAGTCAGTTCCAACTCACAGCCACCTTAGTTAGCTACCTTGCATAGCAAAGGTAGGAAACTTTTTTCCTACCAAGGGGCATTGGACATTTGTAACACCACTCGCAGACCATGCCACATTATCAACTGAAAAAGTGTTTGATGTCAATTAAGTCCACGAGGAAGCAGCATACCAGCATCCATGATGCCGGATTTTAAATGTTAAAGTCCAAATCCGAAAGAGGGAATGGTATCAGCTTAAACTGAAATGCTGGTGTACAGAGGTCTGTGGATGACAGTAGAAGACCAAGGCACATTTGTAGGGTCTAAACACGGAATAAGCCTCTGGTGATTCCCTGTAATATAATTGAGGAATGGGAATAACCTGTTTATCACACAGAGATTATTATAGTGATGACTATCTGACTTGAATGGTTAAAACTTTATGCTTTGATCTCCCTTTTGATAGGTTTTGAGCTAGATGTGGTTTTTAATGTTTTCTAGTTTTCTCAAATTGGGGTTTCTGTGTTGCATTTTGTTATTGTTAGTAGTCTCCTTGACTCTCTGTTATGTATTTTTCTTTGTTTTTTAGTATATGAAACCCAAGATAGGTGACTCGCGTGAGACAATAACTAGAATCAAGTTTCCTGGAGGGTTCAGCAGGGGAGGTGGGACGTGGTCATGGAGAGCTGAGAGCAAGGAATACAAGCAGGAAGACATTGTCTTGAAACTGAGTGTCGTAGCAATGACACCACCCTGCTTGATATGACTGAATTATTGAGTGGTATGATGTCTAGATGAAAACCAAACAAAATGATTTGAAAAAAAACAAATTGAAATTTAAAAAAAAGTTTAATTAAAAAAATTAGTTGGTCTGTTATATTTGGTCAAATATTCACTTAACTCATGCCTAATGTGATAGCAGGAACTGCTTCTTTGGGACGAGGCCTGTGGTGTTAGCTGGCGGTAATGATTTCTCAGGACTTACATGACGCATGGGCCAGGCACCCCCCACCATTTGGTATAAGGTTTCTTAGACTAAGCCTTTATGGGGGCAGACAGCCTTACCTTTCTCCCTCAGAGCCACCGGTGGGCTGGCCTTGTGGCTCATAGCCCAATACCTAAGCCACTGCATCCCCATGCATTAAATGCATGGATTGAACATATCATCTTGTTTCAGACAATGTCAGGGAGTAAAAATAAATGACATGTTACATAGGCTGCATTCATAAGAACTATAGAAGGTATTTTAAATGTTATTTTTCTTCCTTTCTCCCTGTAAAACATCTATAGGTGTGTATGCTTGGATTGGCATTAATTTTGTCCTTGGGCGATTTGAACATATTGAAGATGGTAAGTACCATGCTTACAAGTAAGGTTTAACTGGGAATCAGGGTTTTTCTCTTTAACCCAGACGATTAAAGAGGAGTTAAATTCTGTGACACTGCCAAGTGTGTGGGCGTAGAGCACAAAGAACTGCGTTGTCTTGCGCCTGAGCCTGGTTTTAGTTGAGAGGAGTATACAGTCGTTATGAAGCGTGCATGTTCTTGAAATCCGCTATGCAAACAAGATGACTCTTCAGGAGCTTCCAGCGCTGGGGGTCGGCTCTGTTTGCCGAGTCTCGCTTGCTCTTTGCAGATGACGAGGCAGTGGTGGAAGTTAACATCCCTGGGAGCGAAAGCAGTGAAGCCATTCTCCGCAAAAGGACCGCGGGCATCCTGGACATGGGAGGCGTGTCGACTCAGATAGCGTACGAAGTCCCCAAAACTGTAAGCTTTGCCTCCTCACAGCAGGTTATTATCTGTACAAATTTCCTTCTTTTGGTTCGGTTTTCGTTTAACCTGTGTCCATCCATTTTTGTTTTTGTTTTCTGAGTCTCAAAGCGTCTTTACTGTGCTTGCTGAGGTGCCCGCCCAGGAGGAAGGAGACGGGAGGAAGCCAAGGCAACCCTCAGCTAAGCCGTTTGTTTGTCATTGAATCAATCAGCTGACTTGATCCGGACCTGGAGTTTCCTATAGTATATGTCAGTCAGATGCTTGATTCGTGTTTTCACTTTTGTTCTGTCACTTCTTTTCTCAACAGGTGTCCTAAAACTTAATAACCTTTGGACGGCTTAAGGAGTAATTGGGAAACTATGATGCTTCTTTGTAATGGTCCAGGCAGCTTTTAAGTGCTCAGGAGAGGTTGAGGCTTGTGCCAGTCCTTCCTCCCACACTTCTGAAGTTGAGGTTTTATGATCTTCGTGCCGCCCCCTGCAGTGCTCTCAGGCCCACCCTGGGTAGACGGATGCCCTCATATGTACAGGGAACACTGGGAGGAAGGCCTGGGTTGGTTTCCAGAGCTCTCAGCCAATGACAGCGGGTCCTCATTACCTGACTGGAGAGTAACAACAGTGGTTGACTGATGACATTTTCCCTCAGAAGAAGGGTGGCAGCATCGTGTGGTGTTTGCTAAAAGGGAGGCTGTGGAGCGGCACAAACCTGCCTCACGTCATCATTCTGGTCCCTACCAGTTGTGTGACTTTATACCAGCCACTGAACGTCTCAGGTGCCCTCATTGCTAAGGGTGGACAACATGCCAGGCAGTTATGAGGATCGGTGCAGTGCACACAGGCTCCGCGGATGTTAACTAATATTATATCTATTCATTTGTTAGGGCGGTCAACAACAGCTTTGAGCTCCTGGGAAAGAGATTTTGGAAATTTAAGTGTTAAAAAGTTGTCTTTTCTATTTTCTATTCAAATATGCTTTAAAAATGGTTATGCTTTTAAAAAAATGTTTATTTTGCCCATTATTGATACATATATGTAAACATATATACTATATTAGCATGTTATATTTTCTATCATATATTATACCTGAGAATATATTATTTATATGTATATAATATGTATTCATGCATATAATATACATATGAGGACTTCAAAAGTTTCATGGGAGAAAAATCCATGATCTTTTCCAAAAAAGCTTTTGGAACACACATGCACACACAAAAGGACTTTGGAAAAATACTGGAAAATCAAGATTAAGGTTTTTCCATGGGCTCATGGTCCAGTATAGCCACTATTAGCATTGTAGTCTCTTTCTCTGCACTCTTTTTTCCCACTGAAAGTTTCAAGAGGATGCTGCTCACACAGATGGGCGGTCTCTGGTTCCCAGGGCATCAGCATGCTCCCTGGTCCTCTAGCGAGAGCCATTCTACTGTCATCCAGGATTTCCTATCGGAGGACTGCAGTGACACTTAGGATCACTTCCCAAGAATATGAGTTCGTAAATAGATTGACTTTGAAGGCTCCTCACAGCCCGACACATGTGCAACGTGTTGCATCAGAATTGCCCCGTTGCATCCTAAAGGGTGCCGACTTAGATTTTTGGAACCACAGAGGTAGAACTATCTGCCTGTCTCAGGTGAAAATCTTTGTCGATCCTTCATTTTAAAGGGGCATGTTCATCAGGAGCTAAACGTTTTTGTGTTGCTCAAAATACTGAAGTTTGTCTTCCTTATGTCTGCAGGAGGAAGTAGCTAAGAACTTACTAGCCGAGTTTAACTTGGGATGTGATGTTCACCAAACCGAGCATGTGTACAGGGTCTATGTGGCCACATTTCTTGGGTTTGGTGGCAATGCTGCGAGACAAAGATATGAAGACAGAATATTTGGCGACACCATTCAGAAAAACAGGTAAAGCACCGTACGTTTTTCAGCAATTACTTTCAAACCTATTTCTCTCCTCATAAAAAAAAAAATCAGGCAAAGTATGGAAAATTCGGCCAGCAAAAGTTTATCCACAGTGTTAGCTGTTGATTCACTTCTCGGTGAAGAGGAGCTAAAGGACTCCAGGGTCAGACCTTTAGCCCAGGAGAGCCTCCAAAGAAGGAGCTCTCACCTCCTCACTCTCAGCCCACCCACTGAATTAGAAATTTGACTATCAGACTCTTACATCATTTTGAGTTTGGAGTAATACTATTCTTGGTTGCAAAGTCTTTGAGAAACTCAGCACTTCAGACCCTGGCAGCTGTCCTGCAGGCCTGAGGGGTAAGTATGTGCTCTTGTGGATTACTATTTGAAATGCACAGTGTTCTCCATGATGATGTTGTTTGGGAAAGCCAAGTCAGTCCAGACTCACAGCGATCCTGCGTGCAGCAGAACTGAGCATCAGCCTGTCCTGTACCCTCCTCACCGATACTTTTATGTTTAGCCCATATGTAATGAAAATCAACCAGTGCGTTCACTTAGTAGCTAAGAACCATCCTGGAGGACGTTGTACAGGGAAAGGACAGAGTCTAGGCATCGAAGCTAGTGGATTTTAATAATTTTTAGCAGGGTGACTTTTAAAAATGAATTTATGTAAAATCCTGGTATAGAAAACATCTAAAACTGATTCCGGGAACCCAAGAGGAAAGCGAATTTTGGGAATAATGAGGGCAACAAATGTATAGATGTGCTTTACACAATTGATCTATGTATTGTGATGAATTGTATGAGCCCCAATAAATTGATTTTAAAAAAAAATATTTACAGCCTCAGAAACCCTATCAGAACTTAATTACTGGACTAAACCTAGAAATGTGAAGACAAAAAAAAAAAAGAAAACATCTAAAACAAATAAAAGCAACATGTTACCGGTTTAAATGTATTTTGTATGTTTGAGTACACAGCAATTATTTATTTGAAATGAATCCGTAGAACAGAACGACTGCTTGAACACAAACATGTGAGACCGGGGTTATGTAAGCAACCCCGTTCATCCCTGCAAGGATGCACTCCAGCCCACACTGTTCACCTCTCCGCCAGCACGTCTCCTGACCCTACTCACTCAACAGACCTCACAGTCCCCAGGCAGCCAGTTCATCCCCAAATGCCAGCCAGCAGCTTCTGAGACCCCACAATACCCTCACTTCTGACCTGCTGGCTCCCACTACTCCCTTGGTCTTAACAACTCACCAAAACAACTCATGGAAAGTTCTGTTTTGCATCAAAAAGGGTCAAAGTGAAGAGACACACAGGGTGGGTTCTGGGAGCGTGCCCTACATGGAGGTTCTGTCTCCTTAAAAGCACGCTTGACCTTCGCTTGTCGAGGAGATCTTCCACCAGCCAAGACACACTAGGAGCTTTTGTGTCTAGAGCCTTTATTTGGCCTCGTGGCGGTGAATCAACCCATTTCCCCATGGCCTTTAGGCCTGGCTGGCACCACCCTGAGTCCCCTCATTCGGGTACGGTCTCAGGTGTGGTCTGGAGCCCTGCACCTCACTTAGGGAATTCCAAGGGATTAAGTGTAATCTCTCAGGAACCAACGACAGACCAAATTCCTTTGGGTAAAGTAAGCCCCTCAGCTTCTGTGTGCCATTTGTTTTGATGCAATCATTCTGAGGAAGAGAATATCCTAGTGTGTAGAAATGATAGTATACTCTCCTGAGCACTTTAACCTCATCAAACGTTTCCAAAGGCCAAGTCAGAGCTGTTTCCCACCACATTTACAGAAACTTGCATGTGTGCACAAGGGAAGCAATGAGACATTGTCCCATGTGTGGGCCAAAATTGTGTATGTGGTATAATAGAACGGAATATGGATACATTAGAAATGACATCTGAATCCACTGTTTGCAGTTCGCTGAACCCTTTGTCGAGTTCTTATGTTTGCTTTATATGTCAAAGAATTTTGCACAGTGCAAAATTCCATGGATTTTTTAAATTTAGATGCAGTACAACAAAAAGAGTTGCATAAAGTATGCAATTGACCAAATTTAGATTTTTCTGATAAGTGCCGCACCACTTTGTCACATATCAGGAATTTTTTTTTTAATTTTTAAATCATTTTATTAGGGGCTCATACAACTCTTATCACAATCCATACATACATCAATTGTGTAAAGCACATTTGTAGAAGAAAGAGAATGTTTTGAAACTGATTGTGGTAGCAATTATACAATATTGCTTGATGTGATTGAACTATGGAATGAAATTATATCGGTATTAGCTCCCAATAAAATGGTTTTTTGGGGAAAAAAGAAGCACGAATCAGGTGTAATGCCAGGACCCAGATGTTAGCCTTTTGATAAATATCTGATAAATTATGAAGCACCACTCTCTTTCTTTTTTTTAATCATTTTATTGGGGGCTCATACAACTCATCACAATCCATACATACATCCATTATGTCAAGCACATTTGTACATTTGTTGGCATCATCATTCTCAAAACATTTTTTTTCTACTTGAGCCCTTGGTATCAGCTCATTTTCCCCCCTCCCTCCCTGCCCCCCCACCCTCATGAACCCTTAATAATTTATAAATTATTATTTTTTCACTGTCCAACGTTTCTCTTCACCCGCTTTTCTGTTGTCCATCCCCCAGGGAGGGGGTTATATGTAGATCCTTGTGATTGGTTCCTCCTTTCTACCCCACCTTCCCTCCACCCTCCCAGTATCACCACTGTCACCACTGGTCCTGAGGGGTTAATCTGTCCTGGATTCCTTGTGTTTCCAGTTCCTATCTATAGCAGTGTACATCCTCTGGTCTAGCTGGATTTGTAAGGTAGAATTGAGATCATGATAGTGGGGGGAGGAAGCATTAAAGAGCTAGAGGAAAGTTGTGTATTTCATCGTTGCTACCCTGCACCCTGACTGGCTGGTCTCCCTGCAACCTTTCCGTAAGGGGATGTCCATTTGCCGACAGATGGGTTTTGGGTCCCCACTCTGCACTTCTCCTCATTCACTGATATGATATTTTGTTCTTTGATGCCTGATACCTGATCCCATCGACACCTCATGATCACACAGGCTGGTGTGCTTCTTCCATGTGAGCTTTGTTGCTTCCCTGCTAGTTGGCCGCTTGTGTATCTTCAAGCCTTTAAGACCCCAGATGCTCTATCTTTTGATAACCGGGCACCATCAGCTTTCTTCACCACATTTGCTTTTGCACCTGCCTTGTCTTTAGCGATTGGGTTGGAAAGGCGAGCATCATGGTATGCCAGTTTAATCGAACAAAGTGTTCTTGCATTGAGGGAGTACCTGAGTGGAGGCCCATTGCCCATCTGCTACCTTAATACTAAACCTATACATATATGCACAGAGATATATTCCATCATCATATATAAATATATTTACATATGTACATGCCTGTATTTAGACCTCTATAAATGTCCTTTGCCTCCTAGTTCTTTCCTATATTTCTTTTTACTTTCCTCTTGTCCTACTATCATGCTCAGCCTTCATTTGGGTTTCAGCAATTCCTCTCTGTTACATTGCCCTTGATCAAGCCCTACTAGGCCTCTTACACCCTCCTCACCACTGATTTTAGATCACTTGTTGTTCTCTTGTCCCTGGGTTTGTTAACACCATTTCCTTTCCCTCACCTCCCCTTCTCCCATGTCCCCCAGGAACCGTTGGTCCCATTGTTTTCTCCTCCAGATTGTTTATCCCACCTATCTTATCTAGATAGACCTGCAGAGATAATAATATGTACAAAAAACAAGGCAGAGCAAAACAAAACATCAATAAAAAACCAGTGACAAAAAAAGAGGAAAGCCTGTAAATAGTTCAAGGTCTTTTTGTTAACCTGTAGGAGTGTTTTCCTGTAGAGTCTGATGGGGTGACACACCTTGGCCCCAAAGTCTATTTTTGGTGTTCCCTGGGCACTTCCTTGCTCTGCTCCCCTTGCTGTTCTGTTGCACATCCTTAGTGTTTTACCTTGGTGTGGAGGGGTCAGATCGGACGCACACTGTCTCCAATGTTATCCCCTCTAGGGCTATGGGTCAGTGAGGGATGTCATATCTTATAGTGGGGCCGGCCCTATGGGTCCTCTCTGTGCATTGGCTGCAAAACACCACTTTCTTATGAGTCCCTAAATTCACAAAACAAAAGACAAAATCAGGACAAGATCATAAATCAAAATAAGCATTCATCTGCCGATCTTTTACGGTGGGCACATCAGCCGATGAGTCGGCCATCATTTTGGTGCCGCACCGCACCCTCTGATCTCGATGCCGGAGGAGTTTCTTTAAAGACTTTAGAGAATCCTGAGATATTTATGCAGTCATATAATACCAAGTCCTTCCAGGTTCCCCCTTTCCTTTCCTTGCACACACCTCGTTTAACAGCAGCTCTCTAGCAACTTATCTTTTTGAAGCACTACCATAGATTTCGCAGCACCCTCTTTTCATGGTCACGTTGATGCATAATTAAAGCAACCAGTATGGGGTAAAGATGGCCTTGGGAACGATAGAGTTGGTAGATATTCAGCTGGGGTGGCTGTGAGACCAGAGAGGAGCTCCCGAACACCCCTGAGTACTGCTTTGTAGCCCGGAGCAAGTGGGAAACCCTGGGTAATCTGACAGGTTGTTTAACAGGGCTTTGCTAACGTGCCTGCTGTAGGCCCTGTTCATTATGAATCGCCAAGAGAGGATCAAGTGCATGATTTCCTAACTTAATTTCCTAATTGATCCTGGGCCCCGTTGTCTTCTCACAGAACATCCTACAGGACTCGTGTGCAGAGCACGTCTTGAGAAACAATAACCAAGAGGCATTTCTCCAAAACAGGTGTTTCTCTGTGACTCCTGTCTCGTGATGATGTCTCTGTTTGTCCCGTAGGCTTCTGGGTAAACAGACTGGTCTGACTCCTGAGACTCCATACCTGGATCCCTGCTTACCACTTGACATTAAGGATGAAATCCAACAAAATGGACAGGCCATGTACCTGCGGGGAACAGGGGACTTTGCCCTGTGCCGAGAGACCATCCAGCCTTTCATGAACAAAACCAATGAGACACAGACTTCCCTCAATGGCATATACCAGCCCCCAATTAACTTCCAGAACAGTGAATTCTATGGCTTCTCTGAATTCTACTATTGCACTGAGGATGTGTTGCGAATGGGGGGAGACTACAATGCTGCTCAGTTTACTAAGGCTGCAAAGGTAACCTTCCCAGAAACCCTCTGCTCCCGCAGGCTTTCGGGAGATGGTGTAGAGAGCGAAGGGCGGTGATACTCCCCCTCACATTTGGCAGCCTGCATCCAGAGAAGAGCGAGATGGAGTCAAAGGCTGAAGTGCATGGTGGGCATCATGTTCTTGGAGGCAGCGAGGGAACTAGAGTGGCACTCAGAGAGCCAGGGCGAGCCTAGCTCCGCCCGCCCTCCGGGAGGCTGCATAGTCATCGGTGGCCTCCAGGGCAGCCTTGCCGGTCTGTTCTGCAGCCTCTGAAGACTCCTGCCAGCCTTCCTGTTGCTTTAGCTGCCAGGAAACGCCTAGCCCCTCGTTCCCCTCTGCCGCTCTGGAAGTTTCACCGCAGTCTCTTTCAGGGGTGCCCCCTCTTCATGTTCCTAAGTGTTTGTGAGCCTAGGGCCCCGCTGTTGGTCCTCAGATCTCTCTTCAGGTTCTTGGATGGCCTCTTCCATGCTCACCGTTTGCTGCTGCCTCTCAAGAGGAGGCTCCAGTTGTGACCTTGGCCCAGCTGCCTGCCAGACTTCACGACTCTAACCAAACCCACCATTTCCCTCCATTCTACCTCGGCCATTCAGGCCCCTCCCCCAAACCTAGTCCACCCCCATCATCCGTCCTGACGCATGACCATCTGTCTCGCAGACATTTCTCAAACCCTCCCTGTGCTGCTCATTCCCTCCCCTGCACCACCCCAGGGGCCACGGGACGGCTCTCTGCCTGTGTGGGCTTCAGTGGCCATCCGCACGCGGCTCCAGAGTGCTCCGTCTGGAACAACGGCAGTCACCTTGCTCCTGTTTAAAATCTCTCCAGCGTCTTCCTGTTGCGTACAGGGTAAATTCCAAGTGTCTCCACACGCCGTGCCCACCTCTGCAGCCTCATCTCCGCACCCCGCACGTCAGACCCCAACCACCAGACAGGCCGATGCTCGTTTCCCCCCTTGCGGGACGGCTTCTGTCTTGCACTTTTGTTGATGGTGCTCCCCCAGCCTGAAAGGTCTGCCCTCCTCCCTCAGGCAGGCCCTGTGCTGACCCCACGCCCCACGGAATGATAGCCCAGACAAGCCTGTCCTCTTGCCAAGGGCTCAGCCCGCCCTCCCATACACAGGTTATGAAGAAGCCGCGCCCCCCTCGGTTCTGAGGGTTGAACTCAGAGGAAGCACCTAACAGAGCTTCTCGCAGCACAAAGGGGTGATTTGTAGAAAAGATGGTACCACTTTCACTTCAAGACACGGCCCTGCGGAGTCATCGTTGTCTTCCCAGGACCCTGTCCTGAGCCTGGCACAGAGACACTCGGATTGAGCTAGTAACAATAATGCTTCCCTTTACCAGAACTGTATGCCTGTCACACGCAGTCATCCCGAGAGAAACGAACCACTTTGACGAGGTTGGTGGGGGTCAGTGAAGTTCTTCTGAGCCACAGGTTCAACAGAGTTTTAAGACAAAGAACAAGTCTTATATTTGCTAAACAGAAGTGTTTCTGAGCGTGTGTGATATAACTTAGATGCTTCATAGTTGTAAAGATATCTCTGTTATGAACAGGGATTTGACCAACCTTTTTCTAAAAATAAGAAAGGTGTCGTTACATTTTAATTAATATTCTACTCTGGACACAATTTCTTTCAGGACTACTGTGCCACCAAGTGGTCCATCTTGCGGGAGCGCTTTGACCGAGGCCTCTATGCCTCGCATGCTGATCTCCATCGGCTGAAGTAAGTCGGGGAGCCCACGGGCCATGGCTCCAGGCTTGACCCGCTGGCCCCCTCTGCTACCTTTAATCCTCACGGCTCGCTTCCTTTTCTCGCCGGGCAAATGCTGTCCCCAAATGCACCTGCTACTTTCTTGCTCCATTTTGCGGTTTCTTTCCCCCGAAGTTCTCCTCTTCGTGTCCTTATTTGTTAAAACTCTCCAGCCGCCGTTCGTCCCTTCACCAGACTCTGTCCCCGCTCTCAGTCTCCCAGCCCTCCCGGTGCCTCTCGGGGCAGTTGTTAGATTCTGCTTTATTTGATGATTGCTTTTTTCAATCCCCTTCCATTGCAGGTCACTTAAGAGCCACTATTATATTATTTAGTATATCTTATTACGTGCCTAGCCGGCACTTTACAAGACGGTAGGCCTTTAATAAATGTGTAAGAATAGTACAGTCGAATACTAGAATAGTAGAGTCGACAACTAGAGTTGACGGGTAATTCTTACCCTCTCGTTCTGTCAATAAACTGAAGCTCGGAGAGGTTGGAACGTCCAGTGTGTAAATGACAGAAGGCCTGTGAAGGGGGTTGGCCATGCATGGTACTAGGTAATACATGCAGGGCCAACTTCAAGGGCTGATTGATTTAGCAGGCGAACTCTTTCATGTATGGGACAAGGACATAAACGAAGGACATCAACTAGAAACACGTCCGCTCCATTGGTCTGGCCCTTCAGAGAGTGTCTACCCCCTGTGGGCTGCAGGGTGAAGGACGTCTTTGCGGGGCGTGGCGTTTTGACAGGTGACCTGTCTGAGGCATGTTTGTGCTTTGTACTTGTAGGTACCAGTGCTTCAAATCTGCCTGGATGTTTGAGGTGTTTCATAGGGGCTTTTCGTTTCCTGTCAGTTACAAAAATTTAAAGACTGCGTTGCAAGTTTATGACAAGGAGGTTCAGTGGACCCTAGGCGCAATCCTATACAGGACTCGGTTTTTGCCCTTAAGGTATGGCTGCAAATTTGGCAATGCGAATCAAAAAAGATGCTTTCTAGCGGTTGGGATGCATTGTGACCACAGCATTGGACAGGGGTGAGGCACCTGTGGTCTGTGAATGTCTGGGGTATTGTCACCCCCCACCCCTGCCCACGTTTGACTTTGGTGTTTCCCACCTCCCCAGCAGCACTTCCTTCCTTCCCCTCCTGACCCACCCTATAGCACGCTGTGCTGCTGCACCTTAGGCTGTGTGCTCCCACCCTTGGGAGGCACTAATTCAGGAGCACTTAACCTTTATGCCTGTCTCAAAATACTGGTTCTAGATGTCTAGGATAAATGCATGTAGGGTTACAGAGGAAACCACGAAATTGAAAGACATGAGTCAACAAATTAAGAAAACAAATTCCTGATAATAGTAATACATACACTTCTCTAGTACTGCTGTAAATATTAAGATTTCACAGAACTACTAATCTCTATAACAGCAGTTCTCAAACTGTGAGCCATCGCGACCCCTTTGGGGGTCGAATGACCCTTTCACAGGGGTCGCCCAATTCATAGCAGTAGCAAAATGACAGTTATAAAGTAGCAACGAAAATAATTTTATGGTTGTGGGGGGGTCACCACCACATGAGGAACTGTGTGAAAGTGTCAAGGCATTGGGAAGGTTGAGAACTGCTGCTCTGTAATTATGTTGTAGAAATGAGTGTTGGGCATTTTGAGACATGGACAACACTGCTACATGATTAAAATATTCACAATTGTCACTAGTGACGAAATCACAGGTCCCGCTAACCTGCTAACCCCAACAGTAATCTGTTGTCCAAATCCACAATTGTAGGAAGCACTTTTGTTACGAGATTGCTTGTGAAAATGGAGAGTGGTAATTTTTACCCCATTTCACATTCATCCACTGTTGACCTGAGTTATTAAGAGCCCTGGCTAGCTGGTAAATGAGGTGCTTGTTTTTCTTGTGAATGAGTGTTAACTGCAAACATTGTGAGTAGTGGGTATTACTGATCCACCACCAAGTGGTTTAATTCCACACGCCAAAGGCATACCAAACTCACGGGCAGACAGTTAATCCTGGCTCCTGGCCACCCTAGAGGACGCAGTGGCAGTGCCCCTGTGGGTTTCCGAGACCGCGACTCTGTGCCGGAGTGGAAAGCCTCATCTGGCCCCAAGGAGCGGCTAGTGGTTCTCAGCTAAACTCGAGGTTAGCAGCCAAGGCGTAAGAGCCTCTCTGCCCCGGGGCCACTGCTCCCGACTTTCACATGCAGCCCGGATGTGTCCTGCTACCCCACAGCAAACCCTACTCCTGGGCCACATTGAACCGCATCCCCCACGTTAGAAAACGAGGCCCGGAGACTGAGGTGACACATATTCGGCTACAGTGGTTGTCACCATGTCCTGGTGCTGTTCCTTACCCCCCACGCCTGGCCGACAGTTCTCTTTCCTGCTCCCTCCCCTGTCTGGTTTGGCTGACTGACTTTCGTCTCCACGCAGGGACATCCAGCAGGAGATTTTCCGGGCCAGTCACTCTCGCTGGCGGGGCTTCTCCTTCGTCTACAATCACTACCTGTTCTGGGGCTGCTTCCTGGTGGTCCTGCTGTCCATCCTGCTCTACCTGCTGCGGCTCCGGCGCATTCACCGGCGGACCCTGCGCAGCGGCTCGGTTGCCACCCTCTGGATGGAGGAAGGTCTTCCAGCCCAGAAGACGGCCGGCACCTTGTGAGCCTGGGCGCTAGTGGGCCCTAGGAGGACGCTGACGGAAAAGCCATTTTTTGCCTCAGGGGGTCTCTGTTTTATTTTCCTTCAATGTTGTTTTTCCTTTTCCTCTTGGTTCCTGAAACAGACCCATTGTTTTCAAGCCTTGCTTCCTAGAACTACTGCATTAAGCTATTTGGATCCAGCTTTTAAATTAAGTCGGGAAAAGGGACATTCACTTGATTTTTTTTTTTTTATACAGAGGTTATCTGCCAAAATTTACTACAAATTTTGGTTCTTCTCTAAGGTGGATTAACTTAACCAAATGCACTTTAACTCTGGGGGAACAGAAATGGCAGCTTCTATCAAGGGAGGGAGATAGCGCTGAAGGAAGGTACTTTTACAGAACAAAAACAGGTTGACTGAAATGATCCTATTTTTCCCTCCATTTTTGAAAGCTCTGGCCTACAGAGGGTAATGTTTCATTGTGATTTATCATTCAGGTCTGTCACGGTCTGTTTTCCTTGCAGTTGTAAAAAGTCGGAAAGGTCTGTAACCAAGAGAGAGAAATACCGGTACCAGGAAGTAAACCGTTTCTTAAAATTGACAACGGAGAGATGTGTACAATGTGAACTGTGTCAGCCCTCTGTGTGCATGTGGAGAAAAGACAGAGCAGGATAAGGGGAGGCAGTATGTTTTCCTTTGCCGTCTCTTCATTTTACATAGGAAAGTCTCTACAACTGTTAACACTTTGGTGGCTACAAGTAATCTCTTTCATATCGCTTCCCACCCAAGCCGTTTGTTGTTGGCAGAAGGAAGACTCGCGTCCCGGGCCTGGGCCTCGGGCCCACTCTCGGGCTCCTCCCTCTTCCTTAGGCAGGCGGCTTCCCCGACTTCCTTGCCCTTGGTTTCTGCTCCTGAGTTCAAGTTGACCTTTTTTCTGTAGTTAGGAGTGGTCGCAGCAGCAGGGCACGGTAGACTGCGGCACGTGGTGCTGCAGTGCCTTGTGAGCCTGTCAGTCCAGACTCGCACACGGAGGGACCATGTGTCCGACGGGCATCTTGAGCACAGGCCTAAAAAGGACAGCTGACGCGTTGGCGGGTGTGATGTGTTTGTAGGTGTGGGTGTGTGTGGGTGTGTGCGCGCGCCTATATTTTCATCCCAGAAGAGTTCAGTTCTTTTCAGCGGTAGGGTGTATGTCAAGAACCTTGAGCTGCTTTTTCAGAAGTCATTGATGAGAAAAATAATTCGAGCTCCGAATTTTGAAACCCTTACTGAGGGGGGAGGGCAGTAAAACAGTTGAAGTTTATCTTAATGACCTAAGGAGGGCACATCTGTGAAAGAAATGCAGATTCTCTTACTCTGCTCTTCCAAGTGAGCATCCTAGCAGCGAGGAGAATCTTGGTAGAGAGTTTGCAGCTCACACACGTATCCAGAAGGTTGGGGTTCAGAACATTGTGGGACACGGAATGCAAAGACCATGAACGTTTCCCACACACTTTGTGAAGCCCCGTCATAGGCCTCCGTCGACTCAGAGACCAGCTTTGAATTGCTGGTCTCCAGCTGTTGAACTCATTGGTCCGGAGCAAACTCTCTTCCTTCTCGTGAGCCAGCCACAGTTGAGCTGTGTCCGATATCTCAGGTGTGGTGACGGCGCGCTTCCCTCAAGTTCTTACATAAGGCTTGGCCCCTGCAGATGGGGCCCTTCGTGATGAAGAGTAAATACGTTTACACCTTTTACTACCACCAACCTCTACGTACTAAGTCTCCAGAAAAGAGTGAAAAATGTGAGGCACCCAGAGTGTCATATTTTATTTCTTCAATCACGGTAGGGACGAGCCAGTGCAGGCTCAGATCATTAGGCTCGGTCTGGACCATTCAGGGAGTGGAGAAGACACACACCGAGGAGCCTGGCCTGAGCCGGACTGCAGGGGCCCTGCTCGAAGCTGCCTCACCAAGCAAGCCTCGGCTGGGGACCCGGCCCAACCCGTACACCGTGGGTTCCCCCACGGAGGATGCCCTGGGTCAGGGCAGGATGGCGCTAGCAGGCCCGGGGCCTGGTTCCATTGAGACCCACGAGTTCGCATTTACATTTTTAAATGTAAGAAAAGAAAAAGAATACAACAGAAACTATATGTGGCCTATAGACAGTATTGTTTGGTTAATTCAGAAAGGCGGTCACCAGCCATTGGATGTAAAAGGATAGGAAAGTGTCCACCTGTCTATCTTCCATAGTTTATGCTCCGTTTTCTAACGAGCCAAGGACTGCGCCCTCCCCTCTCAGCCCCACACTGAGAAAACCGTAGGAAGGGTGGTTGCGCGATTGAAGCATCTGCGTCCCATGGACTGCAGGTGCCCGCCGCAGTCACCCTCTTTCTGTACCAAAGAAGAGGCGGGCTGCGCCTCCAAGTGTGCCCTGCACGAAGTCAGCTGGTCCCCCACTCACTGCCCTGAGCCTATGCTGACCCTGCAGGGCACGAGACGCATGGGAGCCACAGGTATCCCCGACCTCCCGCGGGGTGAGCAGCCCACTGTGTGGGATAATAGTAGTCTAGGATGAGCCGGGAGCCCGTAAACTCCATCTCCTTGGAGTAGGGGGGTGGGGGTGGGTCCTGGAAATTGGTAGAAGCCTTATCCAGTAAAGGACCATGCTTCTTAGCTTTTCTCAGTCTTAACTGCCGGGGCGTGTTCCCGAAAGACGACGTGCCATCCATTTAGGGATAGACTGGAAACGTACAGACACGGGACTTGACCCCGTGACTTTTTGCACATTCTCACCGCTAGACTTCTGGCCCCCGGCAGTGCTTCCCACCCCAAGGGTATGCTGTGGTGGCCGGAGGCTGGCAACTTGGGGCTCTGTGGGGCCAGCCTGGGCCTTCAGAGACTGAGCCACCACCCATTGCCACAGTGCAGCAGTCGGCAAGCACTGTGTAATAAACACTCCGTGTTAAATTCCGACCGGCCTCGGATAGTTCTTGTTACGAGGAGTATGTGTCGCTTATGGAGAAACTAAAAAAGGCCAACATGCTTTCCAAGCTTCAAAAAGAGAGTCGCTTTAGACCGCCATGCTGTCGCGTGCAGTGCAGCAGAATCCCCGCAATAAATGCAGCCTGCAGGCCTGTCCGTGGGCTTCCCCTTGCAGTGAGGATGCGACCAGCCATGGGGGGTTCTCTGCGCGATCGCCAAGGTGACGTTGTACCTTAGGAATTAGAACCATGAAGGGACGATGGAGTTCTGTCTTTTACGTTTTTGTTTACATGACGGTTTCCAGTCAACACGAAAATAAACAGCTGGAGTAGGGGGTCGTTGGGGTCTCAGGCAGCCTTCTGAATTGGGGCAGTGTGCTGATCCACACTTGCACATGAAGGGTCTTGAGAATCAACGAAAGGAAAGTTCATCCAAATTGCCCATGGACTGAGTTTGCCTTCTGTAATTTAATAACAATGTCTCTGATGTTTGAGTCTCATTACCTGTTCCACTGGTTCAATGTGAATAGAAACTCGGTAAAATAAAGGGTATGAATCTCCTCGATGCTGTCCTTGCCCTTGTGTGTGACACGTGTTTGAGGAAGCCCTGCTGTGGGCCGTGGAGGGCGAGTCCTATACTCCCTGAAGTCTATCACCCAGCATTCCCCAAAGACATGCTGAGCCCAGTGATGAAGGCTATAATAAGACAAATGCCTTTTAAGGTTATCATTTTAGAGCACCTGCTGGGTTGGCAAGGAGCCCTGGTGGCAGAGTGGGTGATGGTTGGGCCGCTAACAGAGTTAGCAGTTCAAAACCACCAGCCACTTGGAGGGAGAAAGACGAGGCTTTCTACTCCCGTGAAGTTAAAGCCTTGGAACCCCACTGGGGCAGTTCGATTCTGTCTTACAGGGTCGCTATAGGAATGAAATGTAGTAGTGGTTTGCATGGGTCAACAAACAACATCAAGACAAGGGAAAGAGCTTCCTGTTACGCATTTGCTCGTACGGAGTGAAAGCTAGTGGTGACGTCAGGTTATCACCACTTTCCAAGCAGGTCTAAGCTTACAGTCTTGGACTGACTTCCAGAGAGTCCTAAGCCTCATTCTATTACTAATAAATGAAGGAACAGTTGAGATTAGAGTGCGGACCCAAAGCGCCTACAAGAAAATTTCTAGAGCTAATGGAAGGATTGCAGGCAAAGTACAAGGTCAACAAACAAATCAGCTGGGGTTTTATAGAAGTCAGGGAAATTAGGAAAACAGTTTCATTTACAATAGCATCTCAGAGAATAAAATACCAGGAATAAATCTAACCGGGGACGGGAAGGCCTTATACAATGAAAACTATTAAAATGGCCGAAGAAGATGAAAGAAGGCTTAAATGGAAAGATATTCAATGTTCATGCATTAAAGACTTGATATTACAATGTCTATACTATCCAAAATGATCCATAGATTGATTCGACACAATCCCAATCAAAACTCCAACACCCTTTGTTAACAAAAACCCTCATGGAATGCCTAGAAGCCCTGAATGGCTCAAATTATGCTGAAACAGAAAAAGATGAGCCAGCCTTCTGGTGTTAAAACAACACAAACACAGTAAACACAACAGACTGGTACTGGTGTCACAATGGATGCAGAGACCAGAGGAATAGAATTGGGAGTCCAGAAACAAACCCACACATCCACGGTCAACTGATTTTTTAAAAATAAAGATGCTAAGTCCATTCTGAATGGCCTTTTTTTTTTTTTTAATCATTTTATTGGGGCTCTTACAGCTCTTAAAGCAATCCATACACCCATTGTGTCAAGCACATTTGTATATATGTTCCCATCATCATTTTCAAAACATTTTCTTTCTACCTGAGCCCTTGCTATCGACTCCTCATTTTTCCCTCCCTCCCCGACCCTCCCTGCCTCATGAATCCTTGATAAATTATAAATTATTTATTTCCATATCTTACACCGACCACTGTCTGTCTCCCTTCACCCATGTTTCTGTTGTTCATCCCCCTGTTGGGGGGGTGGGGAGGGGGGAAGGCGGTTATAGGTCAATCATTGTGATCTGTTCCCCTTTTCTCCCCCCTACCTTCCCCGTACCCTCATGTTACTGCTACTCCCATTATTGTTCCTGAGGGGTTTATCTGTCCTGGATTCTGTATGTCAAGAGCTCTTATCTGTACCAGTGTACATGCTCTGGTCTAGTCAGATCTGTAAGGTAGAATTAGGAGGGGGCGTAGAATTTGTAAGATGGAATCATGATAGGGCAGGGAAGGAAGCATTAAAGAATTGGAGGAAAGTTGTATGGTTTGTCTGTGCTGTACTGCACCCTGGCTGGCTTGCCTCTTCTTTGTGACCCTTCTGTAAGGGGATGTCCAATTGTCTACAGCAGGGCTTTGGGTCTCCACTCCGCCACCCCACCCCCCTTGTTTCATCTATATGATTGTTGTTCTGGGTCTTCTGATACCTCATCCCCTCAATACCTCATGGTCACACAGGCTGGTGTGCTTCTTCCATGTGGGCTTCGTTGCTTCTCAGCTAGATGGCCGCTTGTTTATCTTCAAGCCTTTAAGACCCCAGACACTATATCTTTTGATAGCTGGGCACCATCAGCTTTCTCCACCACATTTGCTTATGCACCCATTTTGTCTTCAGTGATCTCGTCAGGAAGGTGAGCATCACAGAATCCCAGGTTATTAGAACAAAGTGTTCTTGCATTGAGAGAGTACTTGAGTAGAGGCTCAATGTCCGTCTGCTACCTAAATATTTAACATATATGTACATAGATCTATTTCCCTATTGTTATAAATATATGTACATATGTGTGTGCCTGTATTTATACCTCTGTAAATGTCCTTTGCCTCCTAGTTTTCTTTTTCCTTTTCCTTTCCTCTTGTCCCACTATCATGTTCAACCTTCATTCAGCTTTCAGTAATTCCTCTCAGCTACATTGCACTTGATCAAGCCCCAGCAGGCATCCTATGCCCGCCTCGCCATTGATTTTAGATCACTGTCATTCCCGTGTGCCTGGGTTTGTTGACTCCCCACCTCCTTCCCCCCACCTTCCCTTTTCCCATGTTACCCCAGAACTGTTGGTCCCATTGCTGTCTCCTCAGGATTGTTTATCCTGCCTATCTTACATACATAGATATAGAAAAAAAGAAAAGAAAAGCCTATAGTTCCAGATGTGTCTGTTGACCTTTATGAATGTTTTCTGATTGAGTCTGATGAGGTCGAAGCCCTGCCCCAGAAGTCTATTTGTGGGATACCTTGGGGACTTCATTGCTTTGCTCCCCTTACTGCTCTGTTGCACTCCCTTTGTGTTTCACCCCAGTGGGGTGGGGTGGGGGGTCAGACCAGGCACAATTCCCCAACTGTGTCTCCAGTGTTGTACCCCCAGTGCTGTGGGTCAGTGAGGGGATGCTGTGTCTCCTGGTGGGGCTGGCCCTATGGTCCTCTCTGCATTGGCTGCTCCAAGCAATATAGGAATATAGTCGTCCTCGGGGTTGGGTGGGCTAGGATGTGGTTGTGTGTGTGTGTGTGTGTGTGTCCCCTTCCCTCTTAGTATGCTCCTGTGCATTCTAACCTGTATTAGTCTGAGTACATTAGAGAAACAAATCCACAGAAACTCATGTTTAAGAGAGAGTTTTATATAAAGGGTAAGTGCACATCAAGAAAACATCCCAACCCAGTGCTGCCCAAGCCCACAAGTCCAACATTAGCTCATATGTCTGACACCAATCCACAAAGTCCTCCTCCATCTCACAAAACACACACTATGATGCCGACTGCAGGAGGAAAACCGAATCAGTGAACATGTAAGCATCTCAGTGCTGGCAGGGGTCTCCACAAGGAGACCCCTGGGTAGGTCCATGTGGCTTCTCCTCAGGAATGTCTTGCAGGAAGTGAGCCTTGCCAGAAGCAGAGAACTGGCTAAGGCAATTGCACCCTGGTCCGACCATCAGAAAGCAAGAGACCTGAGAACTCGAAAGGTGAGGCTCACTGAACCATTTAACTCTCCACCTTTCAATTAACCCCACATGTGTTTATCGGTCAGGTTGGCACAATAAATGAACTTCCTCATAAGCAGACCTGCCCCTCTCCCCAGGCCGTATCTTCAGTGCTGTCCTCTGTAGTGCATTCTCTGGAGAGGGGGTCCACATAGCTGTTACTGGACCCTGAATGGTCTTCACGTTTTCTACTTTATTTCTCTGGGTTCCAATATCCATTGCAATGGCTACAGAGAACTGGCAAACAAAATTCAGGATGCAAGGGTTTATGAAGGAAGTTAACACGTAATGCCAGTGAGAAATGCTCAGGATTGAGTTGTCTATTGGGACACATTACATAGTTCTATCAAGTCTGCTAAGAAATGTCCAAAGGGCATGTGCCACTCTGCTGTATGCTTCAACCCTAAGGCATTCAGCTTAAGCTCCGTGGGTCAACTAACCCAGCTCCCAGAATTAAGTGCCCAGAGGTTCTCTGCTCCCACTCAGCAGGTCGGCTTCCTGCCCAAAAGCCCTCAGCTCTACTTGCTCCAGGGGCCAGGCAGTGCATCACTCTGTCCCATGCTCTGAGTCCAGGGTCTGCTGCTACTGCTGCTTTGTGGCACAACTGTCTTCTGGATCCACGATGTTCACTGCGCCCGGTCTCAGGTTCAGGGACACACTCACTCGTGGCTTCTGTTGGTACTGATCCCCTCCTCTTCCTGCTTCTCATAGGGCTCAGTTTATACACAGCAGGATGGCACATACTCTAGGGCAGCGGTTCTCAACCTGTGGGTCTTGACCCCTTTGGGAGTTGAATGACCCTTTCACAGGGGTCGCCTAAGACCATCAGAAAACACATCTTTCTGATGGTCTTAGGAATCGAGACACCACTCCTCTCTCCGTCTCCAGGCAAGTCCACCCACCTGCAGATATGCCCACATATGAGTACCCAGCATGAAGACTGTTACCCATGCTACACCATGCTTCAAGACACCATTTCATTGATTTGTCATTGAAATAAATATTTCACAATATAGAATTACATATTTTTTGTGATTCATCACTATGCTTTCATTATGCTCAATTTGTAACAATGAAAATATCAGATATTTACATGACGATTCATAACTAGCAAAACGACAGTGATGAAGTAGCAATGAAAATAACTTTAGGGTAGGCAATCACCACAACATGAGGAACTGTATGAAAGGGTCACGGCATTGGGAAGCTTGAGAACCACTGCTCTAGGGAATTCTGTTAGCAATCATTCACAGTGACTCCTATCGGCATCCCAAACCTGCACCACCATCACCACCTCCACCACCACCACCTTACGAGGCCCAGGCAGGGAATTGTCATTTCATGGGAGTTAGAGGCTTTGGCTAGAAGAACCACATTAAGTAATTCACTGCCCCCAATAAATGGTGTTGGGAAAATAAGATTTCCACAGGCAGAAAACTGAAATACCCCATTCCTCAAACATACACAAACACAAATTCAAAATGGATTAAGGACTTCAGTGTGCAAAGGAAAACCATAAAAGTCTTGCAAGATGCAGGGGCTATGCCGTCAA